CTCGGAAAAGCATTCACATCGAGGGAAAATAGGCACATTCACAATCGACGCCATTATGAGAATGGCTCGTTTAATTTTAGACACGAATTATTTTGTCTATAACAACAAATATTACCGACAAGTTCGTGGTGGTGCTATGGGCTCTGCATTTACACAAGTGCTGGCTAATATTTACATGTATGAATGGGAAACAGATTTAATCGAACATCAGAAAGGCCACAATGCAATATATGGAAGGTTTACTAAACAAATTTTTCAAGTCATAGAAACGTACTCAATGTAATCTATACATTTTTCAGGTACATCGATGATATATTCATGACAACGAACGAAAGTGTCATCGAAATCAACAAGCAACTTGAGAAGGCTGCCAATAAAGACTCTAATATTAAAATAAACTATAAAATTGACACCACGGTTAACTTTTTGGATGTTACTTTCATCAATACCACCGGTCAGCTACAAACAATGATATATCATAAATCGTCAGCGGAACCTTATCAATTACCTTTCACATCCGATCATCCGCCACACATTCAAAGAAATATACCGTTTGCAGCTTTGATACGTGCTGCTCGACATTGTTCTGATGTGTATGCTTTCAATAAAGAAGTTATTCGTATTGAAATCTCGCTACTATTAAATAAATATCCACCCAGATTCATTCGAAAGCAAATCAATCGGTTCTTCCAACAATATGATGCTATGGTAGTCATCGAAGACTTAAATGAACGAGTATATAGAAGGCTACATCAACAATTGTTACATCAACCAACACGAACTGAAAAAAAGATTACAAAACATGATGGAAAATGCAATTCAATCACCACAAGTACTACAAGTAAAAACTTGGAACTCCAGCATTATGTACCCACGTTATATCTTTGAAAGCCACACATCAACTATTTTGAAAAAGAAATTCAACGAATGGTGGAACTACTACTACACAAGCCACGACACAGACTTAAAAAAGGTGAAAATACGTTGGGTGCCCAATCTACAACAGACACTTGACACACACTTAATACACAAGAAACCAGCTAAACTTAGACTCACAAAAATGGAGGCCTAATCGAGCAACATCATCAATCAATATATGCATCGAAGATTTTGTCCACCATACAGGAACATAAACTGTCCTAAATCCATTTGTGCAAAATCCAACTATTGTAAAAAAAACCGAATAGCTCCTATATATAACCTTTCTTAAAATTTGTAAATAAAACAAAAAAGTATTTGAAAAAACGAAAACAACAAAACTCGTTCCAACACGACTCACATGGGGAAGACGCCAAAAGGGTGACAACGAAAAAGAAAACAAAAGCACCGTCCTGTTCTGCGATCCTCTCTCACAAACTTAAAAGCCAATACCTTCCGTATGAAAACACTTAAACAGAGAGGATCATGTTCTCAGTTCGGACCCCAATCCGTAACCAAGCAAAACCCACTCTTTGTATCAAAACTATTATCACAAATTTTGATAAAACTTTTCAGTTTCTGTTTTCAAAAATTACTTATCGGAACTCGAATAAAGAAAAAAATTATCTTCGTTCTGCTGGTAACTATCACCTACTCGATATAATATTTTCACTTCTTCTTATTCAGAAGATAAGCGTATTCCGAAACAATCATCCCAAAAGAAATTTCTCAGCATATCTCCAGAGAAACATCACATAGATTCTGCGTACACCTCATGATAAGTATTTCAGACAAAGTCGACACACCACGCCCGCTTTTCTCTGAATCTCTCTTTATCGTTTTGCGTTTACCTACATACCCATAGGTTTTATTAAGTTTTTATCGAAATCTATTAAGTTGTTCCATGTAATAATAAATAGATACTAAACATACCTGATGAGTACTATTTGAGCAATAGTCGAAACCGGTCGTATGCTTGCTTTGTATCTATTTACTATTTGAGTCTTTCGAAAACACACCCACACCCACACCCCACACCCACACCCACACCCACACCCACACCCACAAATAAATGCTTCTTTCATTTTTTTCTCCCTGATATACAACTTAGTAACGACATATATGGATTCTTCGACGTTGAACGATCTGTTGAATTTGTCTTACTCTAGATTTGCATTTTAGATAACATTTTGTTTTTCTCTTGAACCTGTTTCCTATGTCTGTAAAACGAAATCTAACAGAAATATTCAAAACAACGACGAATGAGATTGTAGATGTAAGTAAATATTCGTGGATTGGTAAAGGCTATTGCATTTTGATTCCTACCAAGATCAATTTGAATACATCTTTGATTGCGCTTCGTTTTCTTTTTTTAGTGGGATACTGATGAAAAATTTCAAAACTAATTTTGATATTATCGACGATGCCAATGATACACTCGAATTTTCAAACCAAATATTAAATCAATATTTCGAATGTAGTCGTTTGAATACATTTAACAATTACAGTGAATCAGTTATTGACGATGAATCCTTTCACAATTATTTTAACGATAACCAGGTAAATAATTATTCATAACAGGAATAAGGCTGCTTTGTCCACAAGAAAAATATTTTCCTTATATCACTACAGATACTACAAACTAATGAAGGGACTGTTTCACAAATCGTACGTGATATATCAGCGACAACAAATGACCAACAAGTACAAGCATCAGAAACATCCAATAAAAGACACGTACCTCGTTCCGAATCATCTACAGATATGGACACAAAAAAAATGAAAACGACTGATAAGGATGCCAATTATGATACAAAATTCATCGTTGAAACACATACAATACCATCATGTCTTTTATTAGCAAACAAACATTTTATTGCAATGGCAAAAAATATAGCAAAAATAAATAAATGTATCAATGTTCTTGATATTCACGACCTGGCGATGTTATTCTATAAAAAAGCTTCTCTTCATATCGATCGAGATATTACCAAAGCATATTTTCATTCTGTTCAAGGCACATTAAAAGAACCCGATATTGAATCATGTGAAGTGAAACGGTCTGTATGGCCTCCACAAGTACAGTCATTCATGTCTACTAAACAGCAAGCAATGAAAGAAACACCCATGCCAATTTCTACCGAAACGACAATGGCAACAACATCTACTTGGGACATAGACGATCCACAACAAAGTCTTAACTGTAGTGATTTACTTCTGGAACAGATACAAAAAATGAAAGAACAGATCGATATTTATCAAGAACAAATCGACCCAGGACAATGATTACGATGATCCTAAACGACCGTTTACGGTCGTTTCCGGTGCCGTAAACAGTCGTAAACGCTGAAATTACGATCGTAAACGGGCCGTGTTTCACCCGTTTGGTAGCGACCGTATTACGGCCGTAACAC